ACAACAAAAAAAAAAAAAAACGAGAGAGTGAAAAGAAAATGACAATTGATCACTACTACATCTAACATGGAGCATGGGTTGGAAAATAAAATGAGTCTAAAATTCTGTTGCTTGCGTGATAGGAGAATTGGTCTACTTCCAAGTTTATGAAAACACTCTTTTCTTTATGTGAGATTATGTTAATCTCCCGTTTCTTTATTTCTTCAAATGGATGATGTAAAGATGTTAAAAGGTATTGGTATAACCTTTCCATTGAATTGATAATATATATATATATATATATATGTATCTATATATATATAGTGTGATTACAAAAGATTATAATCTAAGTATTTACAATTTAAATATTGAAAAATAGGAAACTAACTATCTGAAGAACTATCTACATAATTACACGAAAATTCAAAAACTAAGTTCTAAATATTTTATATATTTAAATAAATACAGAATTTGTTAGTTTTTTATATAATGTTGGGTAAAAGCCCATAATCGAACAATTACAGATTCAAAAATAAATTTAGTAGAACAAACAATTTCAGATTCAAAAATTCAAAAATGTATATTATTGTAATGTTACAAAAAATATAACTCACATCTGAACTCATTAAATTAGGCTAAGGTAGTTAAGTTAATACCAATAACTGGAGAACTTTGATATCTTAAACGAATAAATGAAGGATTTTTTCGAGAAATTATATCTTAATTTAAAATTTTACTTTTGAAACTTTAATACGTAATGATTAGGACAAAGAATAGGTATAACATTTGAATTAGAGTGTTGCTACGTTGGTTCATAGATTAAAATCATGAGATTAGAACCATTTTTAATTTTTATGTATTTTTTATGAGAAAAAAATACTGTAACAAATCATGAATCATGATTCAAATCATAGTATGAATCTCCTTACTAAACGTCCTCTAAATCTGGAAATTGCACCTCCACACACTCATAGAGTGGGTCCCATGTGAGCCCCACAAAGGGTATGGGTCCCACTACATGTGTCTGTAAAGCTGTTAAGTTTTTTTGTTAAAATTAACGTTAGAAAAAATGAGATAAATATTTTTTAAAAGTGCATGAATATATTTTTATTTTATATTTTTAATTAATAATATTTTTATTTAAATAATTATACTAATAAAATAGTATTAATTAAGAATGATAAGTAAAAATCTGGACTCATATATTTTTAAATAAATTTTGTATTTTTCTTTTAACAATTATGCATTGGAGCAACAATTAAAATAATATATTAAATATATCATTTTCACATTTTAAGGTGTCAAAAATAGCGTTAGCATTAATATTAACATTTTAAATGGTCTTATTCTTATATCCTCAAAAGTATCATCTTTTTTTGTTTAAAAAAATATATATGTTGCTAAATAAGTGGCTTTGCATTTTTTTAAATATAAAAAAGAAGAAAAACATGTGCAATGAGAAATAAAAAAAAATTATATTAAAATACATGGAATTTTAAATATTTTTAATTGAGAGTAGATGTAGAGAGAAATGTGGAATAAAGATTTTTTTATTATAGTTTTTTTCGCTTTCATCCTTATTTTTATCGTAATCGTAATCGCATGATGTTATTATATAGTATTTGTAAGCTTTCAGAATACTTTTTTTCTTATTATCCCAAATTTTCTTATTAGTATTACTTATTTTCTTTGGTATTTTATTTTCTAAGAGATCATTCAGATAGTTTTATGGAAGAGGTCTATCTAAGGAATATTGCGGACCCCAGCCATCCAGCAGATTACGAGTAATAAATATTTGTTGATATTTTGTGGAATAAACTATCATTATTTGTGTTTCAGAAGAGTTATTACGTCATCACAAGTCATGATTTTTTTTTGTTTTTTTGAAAACAAGTCTACTCCTAAACCAGTCTGAAAAGTTCTGCTATATTTGCGTTATTGGTGCGATTTTACCTTTCCACTTTCTCGATTCTTTTTTTTAAATTCCCCTAAAGTTTCTACTAGTAATTTATCAGTGTAGTAAATTCAAATTCAAATAAAAATTTCTAGTCACTAATTTTTTTTTTTTTAAATTTCAGTCATTAATTTTTTAAGAGAAAAATACATGATTTGTCAGTCTATTATTTATGTCACTTTAAATAATTAAATATTATTGTAACATTTTATTTTCTCTTTAGTAATTGAATGACAGTTGTTTATTTTAATAAATTGATATAAATTATACTTTTTAACCAACTTGAGTAGTATTTCTGTTTTCTTTTTTCTTTTTTGAAAAAAATCTTGATAAATACTTTTTAAAAATGCATGAGTTTTAATTTTTATTCCTTACTCTAAATTAATACCCTTTCAGTCAAATAACTATATTAACAAAATAGTACTAATTAAGAGTAAAGTTTATAAATCCAGACCCATGTACTTTTAAGAGTAAGTTCAAACAAAAATTTTTTTTTTCTAGAGATTGAGGAAAATAGGTCTGATTAAAAGGGCAATAAAAATGAATAAGGTAAGGTTTATAATTAGTTAATAAATAAGCTTAATTGATGTAAATATGAAGTTACACTAAATTAACATTTCAAAGATACCCTTAATTAAAAAAGGAAATGAAATCTTAAAATTTATCCTGACTCTCTCTTCATGCTCTTTCTGTCTCATCACTTTCTACATTGTAAATTTGAGATTTACGAATAAACACAAAATGTATGTTGATTACCATGTAAGAGAGAAAAGGGGATAGACCTGAAGAAAATCGCCGGCCTTCCTATTTACGGCCAAGGAAAAAAGAACGTCGTAAACTTGGAATGAAGAGTTAGAGTTGTACGGCTTCGACGAGATTTCGAAAGAGAAGTACCTTCGGAGTGTGCCCGGGAACTCTTCGCGAAGTACCAACACTTGGTGCTTTGTAATCAATATACAAAAGTGGACCATCACGTAAGCACGCCCTTGGATGGACACAAAATTCCTTTACTTCTTCATTTTGCTTCGGATTGCACTTATGATTCGGCACTTAGACCAAGGCTGCATGTAAGTTTTGAAATATGATTTTTTAGGGGGCCACCATTAAAGTCAGAGTCTGAGCCTTCCGCATATGCTACTGGTCAATTCCTTTCGGAACTCTTCTTCTAGGCCATCGAATCGGAACTCTTCTTCTAGGCCATCGAAAGAGAAAAAAAAAAAAAAGAAAAATGAAAAGAAAAAGGGTAAAATTGAAAACTGAAAAATTCAAAATATAATGAGACTTATTAATTTTTATATATTGATAAATTAGTTATTTATTAATATAAATTTTAAATGTACAAATATTTTATACAATTTCCTATTTCGTTTTCTAAATTAGGATATACCTCTTTCTCTCAAACTAGGTTATAAATATTCTTTTAGTCAATTAATTATATTAATTAAAAAGGTATTAATTAAGAGTAGGTTAAAAACAAGAGTCAATGCGCCCTTGTGTTGTGTTCAGAAATTCTCTTTCTTCATCAAGAGAAAGTTGAGAGGCCCAGCCCATTAAGTAAACAATAACATGGAGATTGATAAACTGAGGAGAGCATCTGTGGAATCTTGTAATTACTGTTTCTTGTTTTAGGGCATTGACTCGAGGTCACATCCATGTTCAAAGGACAGATTCAGCTCCGTCTCAGTTCAACAAATAAGGAAAGGCCGGGCGGGCAAGCCAAGAAAGTTATTTTCTCTATCTGCTCGGTCTCAGTTCAAATCCAATAGATAGAATACGATAGGAGCTAATCAGTCTAAGTCGCTCACGTCAGGAGCGGGCTTAGAACAGAACTAGTATGCGGGTTCACGGAATTATCTATAGGGATATATCAATTCTTAGTATTTAATTTCGATTTATATTTATTTTTTAAAATATCTAAATCTCTTATTTGTTTTAGATTCTATAAATACCTTAATCATTGTAATTCTTATTGAGATTTGATGATTGATGAATGAATATTGAGTTCTAGTTCTTTCTCTTAAGTTCTTGTTGTTTTATACTTCTTTTTTGAATCATCTTTTTTCTTCTTGATTGTAATTCTTCTCTAAATTCTATCTCTATTCTATCGCGATCCTACCTTAGGTAAGCGTCTATCTCTACCTCTCTACTTTTAGTTTTGTGTTTTTCTGATCCTTCTATCACATGAGGAGTATATCACAATGAAGAGTTACATAAATCTGAGATCAAGTCTTACTAGTCTAAATAACTTTTCGTATCCCAGTAAAAGTTGGGTTTATTCATTTGCACCCAAACTAAAAAAAAATTTAAACTCAAATTACAACTTTATTTAAGTTCATGTTCTTTTATAAAATTTGAATTTAAACTTGAGTTTTAACTTTAATTTGTGACTAAAATCTGAGTTCAAGTTCTCCCTTCAACTCAAGTTCCTAAACTCAAAGTCAAGTTAATGAACAAATTTTTTTCTATTCTTAAAAACGCCGTAACTTTTTCGTTTTAATTCCGATTGAGATGATTTTTTTTCTATGCGTTCACAACGAAGAGACGAATAAAACCCCACTATACACCCTATTAAAATTTTTCATCACCATTGAGTTTTTATTAAAATGCTATCTAAATACAAATTCAAGTTTTGACTCACCCAAACACAAACTCAAATAGATTCTCAATTTAAACTATAACTCAAAATGTGCACATCCAAACACAAACTCAAATTAGAGTCCCAACTCAAATAATACCACCTTAACTCAAATCAAAATCTGAATTCAAGTCACCCTAACTCAAAAAATACAAATGATTAGTTTTTAGTTTTTTGGTTTCTGGTTCGGGTGGTATTATTTTAATAGCATGCATTGCATGGAAATACCGATATAAAATGGTTAGAATATTTACATTAGGTTAGATGTAAGCTAATAGGAATTTATTGCAATTTCCATAATTTGAATGTCAAGTTTGAATGTCAATTTCCATAAGGGTAAGGAAGTGCAACAGTGATGTTGAATGTCAAGTTTGGTTTTTTCGTTTGTTTTTGGTGGCATTTGAAATAAGTCTTTGATTTCATCACCTCTTGAGATCTTCGCAATATTTGATTCTTGAATTTTTATTGTAGCTGAATTCTCAATAATTTTCGCTGCGGCTGAACAAAGAAGTTGATCATACAATATGTTTTGAAGCAGAGTAAATGGCGAGCTTCTATGATCTGCCAAAGGAGGTGGTAGAGGAAATCATGTCGCGGGTGCCTGCAATTTCTGTACTCCGATTCAAGTGCGTCAACAAATATTGGCACGCACTTATAAGTGCTTTGATCAATGATCAAATATTTGTTTCTAAACACCTCGACTACGCGAAAAACAACTGTCATGCATCCTTAATCTTTAGTGATGAGTGCCCGCACCTGGACCACCGCTGGATAGACTGCGACGAAAGCTGCAAACTCTTATTGATCACTATGGTCAATGATAGTGAAATTGATAATATTCGTGTCGCCCTTGAATTTCTCAAGTTACCACTTATTCAGAATGAAACTGGCTACATGTGGCAGGGTATTTTGGACATTCGTCAATGTGATGGCATCATTCTTCTTGTCAAAGACAAACAAACCTTAGTGTTGTGCAATCCAATATTACATGAATTCAAAATTCTTCCGGCATCAAAGTATGACCCCATTGATAGTTTCGTCGAGCTGGCTAGTCCTTTCGGAGTCGGATTTGGATATGATCATAGAGCTAATGTTTACAAGACTATTAGGGTTTTCTATGATCACGATAACACCACCGAAAGAGCTGAGGTATACACACTAGGTAGTGATTCTTGGAGAGAGATTGACATTTCCGAAGAGAGAATTCATTTCAAGTGTCGATTTTTTGCACTACACCGGAGAGGAGTTTGTTATTGGGTCGCAATTAATGATGACACAAGAAACAGAAAGATCCTTTGCTTCGATATGTGTGATGAGGAATTTTATACCATACCATTTCCAAATAATGTCACATTATTGGAAAGAGTACAGCTCTACTGGGTAGGGCTTGAAGTGTGGAACGACTCTCTTACCCTATTTTTTTGTTCTTCTAGAGATGATCATAACCTTAAAGAAGTTGAAGTATTTGTACTGGAGGATCAAGGATCTTGTTCTTGATAAAAGCGCCTAAACGTCGGACCATTACGAGGCATCGCGTTCCTATTATCATTATGGAGCAGTACTGATGAGCTTCTCATGGTAGGTAAAGATGGAAGGCTGGTCTCCTACAACCTTGGAACTCAAAAGCTTAGAGATGTCACCGCTCATGGTGGTGAAATAATAAGGCGTGCTCATTTTGTCTTGCCTTTTCTCTATGTTAAGAGTTTGGTTTCTGTTAGAGACAGATAAAGTTGTTGAAATTTTCAAGCGAAATAAAAGGCAAAGAGAAGAAAGCAAAACTTTGCATGTCATTGAGAATACTGGTAGTTATTTGATGCATCTTTAAGTTGTGCAGCTCTATAATTTTCTTCTACTTTGTCATCTCTTGAATAGTCTTTTCTATGATACTTGACATTAATTATTTTTTAGAATTTTCTATCCTACAAATGGATTTATTTATCTCTTATTTTTTACCGTATAGTTCTCACTTGTTTAGAATATAAATATAAATATAAATATTTTCTATAAATATTTTTTTTTCTTGGTTTTTATGGGACTAATCAATTTGGGCTATAGATTTTTAATCTAAGGGACTTTACAATTTCAGCCCCCTACCAGATAATTGCCTTCACTAATGATGTGGCCCTGTATTATTAGGTGGACATGAATTAGAATATCATCCTTGGTATAGAGGATCTCGGTCTGTTCAAACAGTGAAAAAAATCCAGCTTGTTACTACGTACATCCCACGTTGTTACCTTGCAATTCCACCCATTTAATTACTTTGTGGTTCCTACACAACTACAAAACAATTGCCAATTCAAAAGAATCTTAAAAGCATCATAAATTGAGTGCATCAATACCATGCTACTTATATATTTACAGTTAATGCCATTGTAACAATTAAAACACAACGGTTATAGACGGTAACTCAAAACTGGCATCCACTGGCCGATACTGCATTTCACAGATGCCTCCGAGTCCAAACCATCTGACACATTACTACAGCAACTTCATTCACGCGTGTGCCACCTGTGGGCATTCATCGGACGGACAATAGCCGAAGCCTATATATATATCATCTGTTGTATTCATTCATCATATCTAGACAACAAACTCTAAAGTACCAATGGAGCTACTATGTCCAAGTCCCCACTCAAGTTTTTTATTTCTTAAAATAATCATATAGCTTCATTAAATTTTGGTTTTAATTATTAGTCTCACTGACACAGAAATTTCTGTCTCCCTTACTGCTCTAAAGTGACATTCCTCTGATTCACTGCTAATCTTCATACTGTTGCATATTTTAGCCTACCATTTCACACCCATTTTAGTGGTAAGATATAGTCAGAGTTTAAATATTTGGAGTTCACTTAAAAAGAATCCATGTTGGTAAATTCACCGTGATGTTCTTTTATTATGAAAAAAAAATAAAAAGAACACGGTTGGATTCTAGATTTTAAGGAAAGAAAAAGAAAAAATAAAGAAAAAATGGAGAATTTTTTTTTAAAAGTGCACGAGTCTGAACATTTATCCTTTATTCTTCGTAAATATCTTTTTGTTGGTGTAATTATTTGGCTAAAAAGATTATAAACGAAGAGTAAATATTTGTCAAGAAAAAAGAAAAGCTTAACTTGTTCATTTACATTTTTTGAGTTAGGGTGATTTGAGTTTAGGTCTTGATTTGAGTTAAGATGTATTCGAGTATGGTTTCAGTTGGGACTCTTGAGTTTGTGTTTAGATGTGCACATTTTGAGTTATGGTTTGAATTGAGAATCTATATGAGTTTGTATTTAAGTGGGTCAAAACTTGAATTTGTATTTGGATAGTATTTTAATAAAAGCTCAATGGTAATAAAAAATTTTAATAGGGTATATGTGTGAGGTTTTATTATTCTCTTCGTTTTGAATGCATAGAAAAAAATCATTTTAATCAGAATTAAAACGAAAAAGTTTTAACGTATTTAAGAATAGAAAAAATATTATTTAATAACTTGAGTTTGAGTTTAAAAACTTAAATTGAAGAGAAAATTTGAACTCAGATTTTAATACCAAACTTAAGTTTTAACTCAAATTCAAAATCAAATTTTATAAAACAATCGTAAACTTAAACTTAAATAAAATTATAATATGAGTTTAATTCTTTTTTGAGTTTAGAGTTTTTGTGCAAATGAACAAGCCTAAGTTTCTGGAGGCCCAACCCATTAAACTCGACAACAACATTGAAGCCAAACGGCCCAATTCTAAAATCCAGTGAAAACTTGGAACAAAACAAGCTTAACCAGAACCAGCGATCAAAGCGTTGTTTCAGCAATCCTAAATTCGCAAATGTAATAGCTAACCGGAAATTTTCTGCGGATTTAAGGTCAGCTTCTTACTTCTACCTCTGTAATTTCTCTCTATGATCATGTTTTGATGATTTCTATGAAATGCAATTTTAGTATATTTTGGGTTAGGGTTAGACATAGTCACATTTTCGGCTAAAGAGAAGGTAGATGAAATTTCTATGAAAATGGAAGTGTTGCCAAATTTAAAAGTAGGGTTTGACCTAGTTACAGTTTCAGCTAAGGAGAAAACAGATGAAATTTCTATGAAAATGGAAGTTTTGGTGCATTCAGAGTTAGGCTTAGATCTAGTTTCAGTTTCAATTATATAGAAAATTGATGAAATGGGAAGGAATTGCTAAAGTAATTCAGAATGTGGAAGTTTGGTTTTTCTGATTTCACTCCTCTTGTCTTGCCAACATTTTGGATAATTATGGATAGTGAAGTTTATTTCAGCTGAGTTTTCAGAATCATGTTTTTGGTTTCCCGAGAAACAAACAAGTTCTCCTAATTTGTGTCGTGTGTTTAAATTAGATTTGATTTGGAAGCGGAAATGTCGAGCTTCCACCATCTTCCAACAGAGGTGGTGGAGGAGATCATGTCGTGGGTGCCTGCCGACGAGCTAATACGATTTAAGCGCGTAAGCAAGTCATGGTACGGTGTTATCTCTGGTCTCATCGATGATCCATCATTTGTAGCAAAACATCTCCGCCATACGAAGATGAGGTTCTCTTCATCCTTAATTTTCACTCACTTTTGCCCCCATCTGGACCATAATGGGGTAGATTGCCAAGGAGACATATTCTCATTGGTCACAGTATTGAATGGTGATCACGACGATGATCGTATTCTCTCTGTTATTGAAGAACTCAATTTACCACCACCTCGGGATGGAGGCCATAATAGGTTGGGTAGGTGGCGTATTCGTTATCATTCTGATGGGATCATTTGCTTAGTTCAAGATGCTCGTACCATAATGGTTTGCAATCCGGTATTGCGGGAATGCAGGCTTCTTCCATTAACAAATTATGCCCGAAATGTTGGAGAATTTCTTCCTTCAGCAATGGGATTTGGATATGATTCCAGAGCTAAGCAATACAAGGTTGTTGCAATTTGGAATTGTGTAACTGTGAAAGTTGAGGTACACACACTGGGTACGGAATCTTGGAGAGAGTTTATCTTGCCTCGAGACATGGACATAGCAGAATTTGTGTATGAAGCTGCGGTATATCGGATGGGAGTTTGTTATTGGGTAGTGCGGGATTTTGAGGGTCATGACATGAACCTTTGTTTTGACATGTCCGACGAGGAATTTTATGTCACACAATTCCCAGATCTAAGTGATATTAAGTTCGAGGTAGATTGGGCGGGGCTATCGGTCTGGGATGACTATGTTGCTTTAATTGTGTGCTTTAGAGATTATAATTGTGATAAGTATCCACTATTCGTTGAGATATTTGTGATGGTTGATAACTCAAGTGGTGATAAAGGTGCTTCTTCTTGGACCAAACAGTTTTCTATCGGACCCATAGTAGATTTTGTGAGTACATTATCAGTCATCAAGAACAATGAATTTCTCATGCAAGATAGAGATAAACAGCTGGTCTCCTACAATCTTCACACGCAAAAGCGTAGACATGTCGTCATTCATGATGTAGATCGATTGCGGCATTGGGCTTGTTTCTATGAGAAGAGTCTGGTTTCTGTTAAAAGTAGATGATCATTGACTCGAGATTTCAAGCAAAAAGGAAGAAACTCTCAATTCTGGAAGTAGCTTAATGATGAACCATTATGGACCGATGCATCTTTCAATCTTCAAGCTTTTGCCTTTTCTTGTTTCTTTTGTTATTACTATATTTTCTTGTATATAGCTGTCTTATGTGCTTAAACTCTCGGGGCGTCAAATTATTTTCCATTTTGGATGTAAAAAGAAAAAGGGACAAGCAACATGACATAGCAGTGGTGTTAGTTTTTCCTTTTAAATTAAACAAGAAGTTTGGGGTTTCTGAATCATAGCTATACTTGAAATACTGAACCATTTTTATCTTTTGTAATGTCAAGAATTAATCATCTCCCCACTATTAATACTTGTCCAAACGATGAAATCAATTACAAAGTTATTTGACTTTTGTTGCGGTTTAACTAAGCTGAAACTCTGTGTCCACTTTAATGCTAAGGTATAATCTTGAAGTTGGAATCAACCTCCTCCAAAAACAAAATTAATATATATATATATATATAAACGAAAAAAGACTTTTTTTTCAGGAAAAAAAAAAGACTTTCAGTTTGATATGTGAGGTGAATTGGCTTTGAAAATAAATGATTCTATCCTAAAACACCATATGATACTATTTTTTGATATATATACACACACACACACACACTTGGAAAAACAAAGAATGGTGGTTGCATGCATATTAGGCTCCGTTTCGTTAGAGAGACGAAGAGCAAGAAAGATAAAGAGGATTGTAGTAATCTTTCATACTGTTTGGTGAAAAATGCTAGCATCACTCTTTCTGTCATTTTCTTTACCACTCTCTGCATTTATTGTTTGACACGTAGACTTTATTAACATGAAATATAATTATTTAAACAAAAAATAAGATTATAAAGTCCACATGTCAAACCATTAATGTAGAGAGCGTCAAAGAGAGTGACAACCGTTAATGTAGAGAGTGTCAAAGAGAGTGACAAAAAAAGTGATGCTAGTACTAAAACAATCTTTTAAAGCATTAAATAGATGGATTGTTTAGATCCTTCCATTTAATTTGGTGAACCATGGGGGATTTGCCTCCACCTCTACTCTCCCTTCTCCTCTCCTTCCAACCAAATAAGAGATTAGATCTCTCTCTATCTCTCTCTTTCTACTACGTTTTTTGAGCATGCCTGTAAAAAAAGAGGCTTCAAAAAATGAAAAAAGAAAAACGATGTCAAAAAGGCCCCGGTGCGCGCAGTGGGGCACCCAGAGACCGGCAGGGGTCAAAAATTCATATTTTTATTTGTGTTTTGTATTGTAAAATTAATACATGATTTTTAGGAATTAATGCAATAAGCGGCACAATTTTTTAATGAATATTCTATTTTTTATGATTTTCTCTATTTTCGTCTTTCAACAATAAAATAAAATACAAACGATGTCAAGAATTATGAAATTTTATAGACACGATCCTTAATTTCTAAGCATGCCTGCAAAAAATGTCCTCAAAAAATGATAAAAGAAAAACGATGTCAAAAAGCCATTGGCTCGCGCAGTGGGGTTCCCAGAGACCGGGAGGGGTGAAAAATTTACATTTTTATTTATGTTTTGCATTCTTAAATAAATACATGATTTTTAGGAATTAATGCAACAAGCAGCACCATTTTTTTGATGAATATTCTATTTTTATGATTTTCTCTATTTTTCGTCTTTGAAAAATAAAATAAAATAAAAATTATGTCAAAATAATCTAAAATTTTACACACACGATCCTTATTTTCTTAGCATACCTGTAAAAAATGGCCTCAAAAAATGAAAAAAGAAAAACAATTCCAAAAAACCCCCAGCGTGCACAGTGGGGCGCCCAGAGGGCGGGAAGGGTCAAAAATTCACATTTTTATTAATGTTTTGTATTCCTTAATTAATACATGATTTTTAAGAATTAATGCAACAAGCATCGACATTTTTTGACCAATATTCTATTTTTTATAAATTTTTTTACTTTTCGTATTTAAAAAATAAAATAAAATAAGAACGATGTTAAAAAATTCTGACATTTTACAGACACGATCCATACCTTTTTTGGAGCATGCCTGGAAAAAATGGCCTCAAAAAATGAAAAAAGAAAAATGATGTTAAAAAGGCCAATGCGACCGTAGGGAGGCGCCCAGAGGGAGGAGGGGTCAAGAATTCACATTTTTACTTATGTTTTGTATTCTAAAATTATTAAATGATTTTTAGGAATTAATGCAACAAGCGGCACTTTGTTTTTTATGAATATTCTATTTTTTCTTTGAAAAATAAAATAAAATAAAAACAATGTCAAAAAATTCAAAAATTTTACAGACATGATCCTTACATTATCTGAGCATGCTTGCAAAAAATAACCTCAAAAAATGAAAAAAGAAAAACGATTTCAAAAAGCCCCCGGCGCGAGCAGTGGGGCGCCCAGAGGCCAAGAAGTGTAAAAAATTCACATTTTTATTTATATTTTGTCTTCTCAAATTAATAAATGATTTTAAGGAATTAATGCAACAAGTTGCACCACTTTTTGATGAATATTTTATTTTTATGATTTTCCCTGTTTTTCATCTTTAAAAAATAAAATAAAATAAAAACAATGTCAAACAATTCTCAAGTTTTCTAAACACGATCTTTACATTTTTTTGAGCATGCCTGAAAAATATGGCCTCAAAAAATGAAGAAAGAAAAATGATGTTAAAAAGCTCTCAGCGCGCGCACTACGGCTCCTAGAAGTCAGGAGTCGTCAAAAATTTACATTTTTATTTATGTTTTGCATTATTAAATTAATACACGATTTTTAAGAATTAATGCAACAAGCAGCACCATTTTTTGTTGAATATTATATTTTTTATAATTTTTTCTATTTTTCGTCTTTGAAAAATAAAATAAAATAAAAATAATGTCAAAAAATTTTGAAATTTTACAAACACGATCCTTATATTTTTTTAGGTATGCCTGCAAAAAATGGCCTCAAAGAATGAAAAAAAGAAAAACACTGTAAAAAAGCCCCCGATGCGCGTAGTGGGGCGCCCAGGGGTCGGGATGGGTCAAAAATTTACATTTTTATTTATCTTTTGCATTCTAAAATTAATACACGATTTTTACGAATTAATGCAACAAGTGGCACCATTATTTGATGAATGTTCTATTTTTTTATGATTTTCTTTATTTTTCGTCGTTGAAAAATACAATAAAATAAAAATGATGTCAAAAAGTTCATAAGTTTTGCATACACAATCCTTACATTTTTCTGGGCATGCCTGCAAAAAAAAAGGCCTAAAAAAATGACAGAAAAAGAAAAACGTTGCTTAAAGGCCCCTGACGCACGTAGTGGGGCGCCCAGGGGTCGGGATGGGTCAAAAATTTACATTTTTATTTATCTTTTGCATTCTAAAATTAATACATGATTTTTATGAATTATTGCAACAAGCGGCACCATTATTCGATGAATATTATATTTTTCATGATTTTCTTTATTTTTCGTCTTTGAAAAATAAAATAAAATAAAAATAATGTCAAAAAGTTTTGAAATTTTGCATACACGATCCTTATTTTTTTCTGGGCATGCATACAAAAAAGGGCCCAAGAAAATGACAAAAAAAGTAAAACGCATTCAAAAAACCCCGGCCCGTTAGTGGGCTAGAGATGTCAAATGGGCCGGGCCGTCCATGGACAGCCCGGCCCAGCCCGTAATAGTGCATGATTCGGCACGGCCCGGTTCGTTACTGTTACGGGCCGGGTCGGCACGGCACGTCTAATGGACTAGGGCTGGGCCTCAACTTCTCAGCCCGCGGCCCAAGCACGTGGAGACCCGCGGCACGGCCCTTATTCGGCCCGGCCCAAGCCCTTATTCGGCTCAGCCCAAGCCCGCGAAACGGCCCACGAAAAGCCCATTTCATTTGGTCCAGTGGGCCCTTCACGGGCCCAACATTCGGCACCGACCCAAGCACGTGGAGGCCCGCGGCACGGCCCTTATTCGGCCCGGCCCAAGCCCGCGAAACAGCCCACGAAAAGCCCATTTCATTTGGTCCAGTGGGCCCTTCGCGGGCCCAACGGGAAAAAACTGAATTTTAACCCAAAAATCCCCTATAAATACCCCTTAATTCCACCATAAATCCCACACAATAATTCACTCTAATCTTCTCATCTCACTCTCATTCTATCTCTCAACTTCTCTATTTGATTTTGATTCTAAGCTTTTTTCTCGTGTTCATTCATTTTCTAGCTCTTTCATTTACAAAGTTCAATCAAGTTCTATCAATTTCCAGAAAATGGCCTCACCAAATTTCCCT